TTATAGCCACCCAGTTACGTTGTGACATTTGATACACCCAAAGCATTTCTAAGGTATCCGGAAATTGCACAATCTCATGGTCTAAAGAAATTATACTTGACATTAGAAAAGCTCTAGCAAATGAACTACATGATCTTGTGCTATGCTTAGGATTGGGTCTTGTCCATCACATCATTCTCCTAATGATGCGATCCCGTTATCAACAACATCCAATGTCCATGGTCAGGGAACCATAACCATGTATTGATCAACGAGTTAGTCAACTAGAGGCTTACTAGGGACATGTTGTGGTCTATGTATTCACACATATATTACGGTTTTCGGTTAATACAATTATAGCACGAACAATAGACAATTATCATGAACAAGGAAATATAATAATAATCATTTTATTATTGCCTCTAGGGCATATTTCCAACATCCCATAGTCTTTAAGAGTTTGGGTCATCCAAAGTAATTGAGCACAACATGATCCAGCGGCAATGTATTCCGCTTCGGCAGTGGATAAGGATACCAAATTTTGTTTCTTGGAGGACCAAGATACAAGAGATCTACCAAGAAATTTACAAGTACCCGAAGTGGATTTTGTATCAACCTTGTCTCCGGCATAGTCCGAGTCGGAGTATCCAACAAGATCAAATGAAGACCTCTTAGGATACGAAATGCCAAAGTTTGGTGTATGAATTAAGTATCTCACTATCCTTTTCACAACCTTAAGATGACATTCTTTGGGGCAGCTTGATATCGTGCACACATGCACACACTTAGCATAATATTGGGACGGGAGGCACATAGATATAATAATAAACCAATCATAGAGCGGTAAACCTTTTGGTCAACCGGTTTGCTATCCTTAGTCAAGTCAAGATGTCCACTAGTAGGCATGGGTGTTTTCATACCTTTTCTTTCTTGCATGTTGAACTTCTTGAATATGTCCTTGGTATACTTTGTTTAAGAAACAAAGGTACCTTCCTTAGTTTGCTTGATTTGCAAACCAAGAAAGAACTTGAGTTCACACATCATAGACATCTCAAACTTCTCCAACATTAGGCTTCCAAACTTTTAACTTATATGAGGGTTAGTCGAACCAAATATGATATCATCCACATAAATTTGGCATAAAAACAATTCACCATCAACCCTTTTAGTAAAAAGTGTAGAATCATTTTTCCCATTTCCAAGCCTTTTTCAATGAGAAATTTGGTCAAGCATTTATACAATGCTCTAGGAGCCTGTTTAAGATCATAAAGAGCTTTGTGAAGTTTGCAAACCTGATCAGATTTCTTAGGATTAACAAAGCCAGGAGGTTGTTTAACATAAACTTCCTCCTCAATTTCACCATTTAGAAAAGCACTTTTTATGTCCATTTGATATAAAGTAATGTCATGATGATTGGCATAAGCAAGTAAGATGTGTATGGACTCAAGTCTAGCAACGGGGGCATATGTCTCACCATAATCCATACATTCGACTTGAGTGTAGCCTTAAGCAACGAGACGAGCCTGCTTGAACTACACTGGTATTTCCCCAAAGAGGAAGGGATAATGCAGCACAACGACGGTAGGTATTTCCCTTAGTGATGAGACCAAGGTTATCGAACCAGTAGGAGAACCAAGCAACACAACGTAAACAACCCTTGCACACAAATAACAAATACTCGCAACCCGACGTGTTAAAGGGGTTGTCAATCCCTTTCGGGTAACGGTGCCTCAAATTAGCGAGAAGACGTGATAAAGTTGTGATAGATAGGATACATAGATCGCGAATAAAATAAAGTATAGCAAGGTATTTTTGTATTTTTTGTTTAATAGATCTGAAAATAAAAGCAAAGGTAAATAGATCACAAATGCAGATATGATGAGGAGAGACTAGGTGGCCGTAGGTTTCACTAGTGGCTTCTCTCGAGAAAAATAACAAACGGTGGGAAACAATTACTGTTGGGCAATTGATAGAACTTCAAATAATCATGACGATATCCAGGCAATGATCATTATATAGGCGTCACGTCCAAGATTAGTAGATCGACTCCTGCCTGCATCTACTACTATTACTCCACACATCGACCGCTATCCAACATGCATCTAGTGTATTAAGTTCATGGAAAAACGGAGTAATGCAATAAGAACGATGACATGATGTAGACAAGATCTATTTATGTAGAAATAGACCCCATCTTATTATCCTTAATAGTAATAATACATACATGTCGTTTCCCCTTCTGTCACTAGCATCATGCACCGTAAGATCGAACCCATCACAACGCACATCTTCCCATTGCAAGATAAATAGATCAAGTTGGCAAAACAAAACCTAAATATCAGAGAAGAAATAGGAGGCTATAAGCAATCATGCATATAAGAGATCAAAGAAGACTCAAATAACTTTCATGGATAAAAACATTGATCTGATCATAAACTCAAAGTTCATCGGATCCCAACAAACACACCGCAAAAGACTTACATCATATGGATCTCCAAGAGACCATTGTATTGAGAATCAAGAGAGAGAGAGAGAGAGAGAGGAATCCATCTAGCTACAAACTACAGACTCGTAGGTCTACAAAGAACTACTCACGCATCATCGGAGAGGCACCAGTGGACATGATGAACCCCTCCGTATTGGTGTCTAGATTGGATCTGGTGTTTCTGGAACTTGCGGCGGCTAGAATTGATATTCGTCGACTCCCCTAGGGTTTTTGGAATATTGGGGTATTTATAGAGCAAACAGGCGATGCGGGAGGCCACCGTGGTGGGCACCACCCACCAGGGCGTGCCTGGGCCTCCAGGCGCGCCCTGGTGTCTTGTGCTCACCACGAGACGTCCCTCTAGTACTTCTTTGGCCCATTAGATGTCTTCTGGTCCAAAAACAAATTCCAAAAAAGTTTCGCTGCGTTTGGACTCCATTTGGTATTGATTTCCTATGATGTAAAAAACAAGCAGAAAACAACAACTAGCACTGGGCACTATGTCAATATGTTAGTACCAAAAAATGATATAAAATGACTATAAAATGATTGTAAAACATCCAAGAATGATAATATAACATCATGGAACAATCAAAATTATAGATACATTGGAGATGTATCAATAGCTTCCACACAAAATCTAACCGTTACACACTTTTTACCAAACTCGGTCAGACCAAATAGAGAAACTCGGTGAGACCGATTTAGTTCAAAATGTGAACGCTAGGAATCTCAGTGGGACCGACGAGATCAACTCGGTGTGACCGATGTGCTAGGGCTAGGGCAAAACCTCATCTCGGTGAGACCGATCGCATGAACTCGGTGAGACCGATTTCAGCAATTAATCAAGCAGAGAGTTGGTCAAGAAAACTCGGTGTGACTGATTGCACATTTTAGTGGGACCGAAATAATTGCAAAGAGAGTTTGCAAGGCCATCTCGGTGAGACCGAGATCCAAATCGGCGTGACTGAATTGATTAGAGTTTCTGGCAGTGGCTATGTGAAGTGAACTCGGTAGCGCCAGATAGATCAAATCTGTGGGGACGAGTTTGACTTTGGGTTTTGGACATATGTGAAAATGAGAAAGTGGTTGAGGGTTTTGGAGCAATATCACTAAGCACTTTGAGCAAGTAGACCATTAAGCAACACCTCATCCCCTTTTAATAGTATTGGATATTCTATGGACTCAATGTGATCTTGGATCACTAAAATGAAAATGAAGACTCTTGAGCCTTTCCCAATCTTTGTCCTTAGCATTTTGAAGGGGTTCCACATCCTCTTGTCCTTGTCACTCCATTGTTGAACTCATCCGAAATATACTCGATAAAAATATTAGTCCAACAACAGATATGTTGTCATTAATTACCAAAATCACCAAGGAAGCACTTGTACTTTCAGCTTCCAATCAAGATTGCAGATGATGATGTCCATGGTTTCTTTGTCTCATTCTAGGAGCAGACACGAGGGCCACCATCACAACCAACCGGTCAGAGTTTCACCACCATGCAAACATCCACGAGGGTGATATCTGCACCTTCCCCTTCAGATGCAAGGCAAAAGCGCTTGTCCCACCGCACATCGCCTATAGACGTGATGTCAATAACAACTTATGCATGTATGTATAATCCATCTATGTTGGACCTGCTAAGTATGCCTTATGATGTGGGGACCATGCCTCTACTTGACAGTGTTATTCATTACTTCTAAACCACCTATCATCTATATGATCATTGATCTACGCTGTAAGACTGCTCCTCCTATGTTTCTATAAGCCCGTTAATATCTATGATGCCCCTATCTTCGCTTGTACTCCCTCCGTTCCAAAATAGATGACCCTACTTTGGGTCATCTATTTTGAAACGGAGGGAGTAAGTCTGATTTTATTTTATGAATGTGCATTACAATAACGCAGTTATGTTGCTGTATCTTACTATTGCAAGCAGTGCATTCAAAGTTCTATTTGTGAAGTGAGTTCATCAATATTTTCATCTAAATGTCCTACCCACAGCGCCGAAGACCAAATGAAAAGTTCGGTCACCTACCTGGCAATGCACAGAAACACCTCAAGCAATGTGCCATGGGCACGCCCCTACCGCTAGTGAAAGAAAAATGACTGGGCTGCCCAACAACTTAGCGTTTTTTTTTCTCTACTTACCGTATATTCTACTAAGCCGAAAAGAGGCGAGGAACATCAGTGAGGATGGTTCACCGGCTACACTGATGATGTAATCAGTGCTGTCACGGGCGATTCTGCCGTGTCTCAACGGAATAAAGCTTACGCGCATCTACTTCAACACAGCACCACATTATTCAATCCGAGCCGTCGGTCGGTTGATCAACGGCAGGAGTCGAGACTTGGAGGCACCGTGCAGGGCCGGCGGAAATCGGAATATATCCCTCCCCTTGTAAAAAGGAATGGAAGCCGACAACAACCACCTTCAACGGCGGCGACTCCACCCAACGCGCAAAGGAGACCCGAGCCGAATCCGCCCACCAAATCGCACCCGCGTCTGCCGCCTCCGCCTGCCGCCGGCGAGATGATGATGCTCGTCAACTGCTCCGGCTGCCGCACGCCGCTGCAGTTGCCTCACGGCGCGCCCTGCATCCGCTGCTCCATCTGCGGCGCCGTCACCAACGTCGCCGCGCCACCCGCGCCTGGCCCCGTCGTCGATCCCGCCCGGGGCGCGCAGGCCACGGCGCCGGCGTGGGGCCCGCCTCCCCCGGCCGCGCACGGGCGGAAGCGCGCCGTGATCTGCGGGATCTCGTACCGCTTCTCCCGCCACGAGCTCAAGGGCTGCATCAACGACGCCAAGTGCATGCGCCACCTCCTCACCACCCGCTTCAGGTTCCCCGACGACTCCATCATCATGCTCACCGGTAAAATCCTCGTCTAAGGTGTTTCCTTCGCTGTTATCACCATGGTTGGACGTTAAATTGCCTACCCACAGTTCCCCGTGTCTGTGCTTCGGCATGTGACGCGTTTGTTTTCTATCTACTATTAGGGTTAGGATAGGATAGAGTAGGGGGATTGGGGGAAAGCTTTGCGCTTTGGATTCATTATCTGCCTGTTAGCTATTTACTACCCCATGCGACCTGTGATGAATGTGTAGAGGAGATGGGGGATGATGAGAAATGGTAATTTGCGTCATTGGTATCGAAAGAGTATATCAGAACAATTATGGTACGGGCCTGTAATTGGGTTAAGATGAATGATTGTTTCGTACAATTATAAATAAATAGTATGAGTTCAGCTGTAAACTGGGATTTTTTTAAACCACTTAACAAGGTTGGTTACTTGGTTTGCTATTTACAATGATCTGTCGCATTGTTCTGTTGAGTTATGCGAATTGAGGTAAAGGTTTATGGACTGGTTTGATCCATTAGCCGTCAATCATGAGCTTTGTTTTTACACCTTGTTAGTTACTTATCGTTACAGGAATCTAATCTAAAGAAATGCAAATGCTCATTTGTCTATTACTTTTAGCTATTTATACTGTCTATTATTCCAAATACCGTAATTAGTCAGAGAAAAGGAAATGCAATTCCACAGGCAGGAACTATCCTGTCCAAACTGAATATGCAAGATCTAGATGGTCTTTGTGTCAAGCATCTATTCTTTTGTGCTCTGTACATTTACTGGGATACTTGATGATAATGTTTTCTTTCTACCATTGAACCTTGATAACCATTATATTCCTACTACTGAGCTGTTGATCAGAATGCAAAGGCTGTATGATGCTAGTTTTGCTTGTCGTTAAGCAAGCTGCTACTGTGGATCTAGATTGTCCACATAATGCATCTTTCACAATATAGGAATGCCACAACCATACTAGGTGCAGAGACTTCAACTCTAATTATAAAGAATATTCTCTTACTATGATATGTTGTTACATTGGATTTAGATTAGGTAATCTAGTAACTGCAAGTTTTTGATTGGTTGTAAACTCTCTGGTACATGTTGTTAGTTTTCTGATGATATCTATTGCAATTTTAGCGCGTCCAACCCGCAATAATCATATGCATATGTTACTTTATTGTTTTGCAGAAGAACAAACCGACCCTTACAAAATCCCAACAAAGCATAACATAAGGATGGCCATGTATTGGCTTTTACAAGGTTGTCAACCTGGAGACTCATTGGTGTTCCATTATTCTGGCCATGGGGCACAACAAAGAAGCTACAGTGGAGATGAAGTTGATGGGATGGATGAAACCCTCTGCCCGTTGGATTTTGAGACACAGGGAATGATTGTGGATGACGAGATAAATGCTGCGCTTGTTAGACCACTTCCCCATGGAGCTAAACTTCATGCACTCATAGATGCTTGCCACAGTGGGACTGCACTTGATTTGCCGTTTCTCTGCAGAATGAGCAGGTTCTTATCTTGTCATGATAAATTACTTATTTTTTAACCTAAAATTGAATCTTATTATCTTGAAATACTTTCTACCTTACTATCCTTGCAAGAAACATGAACTCGTCTTGTTATAATTACATTAAGTTCATGATGATATATTTTGGCACTTGATTAATTTTTCTACTGGAATGTCATTTAAAGACAACATAAGCGAGCTAAAATCTTCTTCGCCAACTTTTTCAGTAGTTGATCTGTTCTTATATGTTACATCCCTTAAGTATCAAATCAAGTTGTTATGTGATTTTTAGTTGTTGTTCAGTGTCATATTTTTGTAGTCCCATGACATTTTTTCATATCATTCAGGATTGCAGCATTTTCAAGATGAATGCTCATAAAAATTGTCCATGGCTTATCAGTTGAAATTTTATCTAGCCTTGGATAATGATGTGCTTTTTGGAGACGAAATTATAGTACTAGTTGTATGCTTCTTCTTGTAGGTTCTGTTTGGGCTCCGTCAATGCAGTGACTAGTATAGATCTACAGAGCATCGAATTCTTTCTATATATCTGATGTAGTGTATCTTCAGCTAAAGTTTCTTACCCATTTTGGTACAGAACTGGGCAATACGTATGGGAAGATCACAGACCGCGATCTGGTGTCTGGAAAGGAACTAGTGGCGGGGAAGCTATTTCATTTAGCGGCTGTGATGATAATCAGACATCAGCGGATACTTCAGTAAGCTCTGACCTACTTATTCTCTCTACTATTTTTGTGATTATTATAAGAATTTCTTTGACAAACCATGCTTTCATGCAGTTTATTTTACTATTTTCTTACTAAGGTTTATTTTACTCTGCTTTAACATGTGATTCACTTGGAATTTTCCCTATCAGGCCTTGTCAAAGATCACTTCGACTGGCGCAATGACATTTTGCTTCATCCAAGCTATTGAACAAGGCCAGGCCACCACATATGGGAGTATCCTGAACTCCATGCGTTCGACAATACGGAACACGGGAAGTGGTGCCTCAATGGCTGGAGGTGGTGCAGTTACATCACTCATTTCAATGCTTCTCACAGGGGGAAGCGCTAGTACTGGTGGATTGAGACAGGTAACTTCTTGGGGTTGGCATATGCATCTCAGAATATCCTTATTGGTAGGTGGAGTTACTTGGGAGCATATTTTTCAGTTACGTGGAATCATCTTTTCAGTTTGGCAACAATATTGACTATTTCTGTCTATTCCTGCAGGAACCACAGCTAACTGCATGTGACACATTTGATGTGTATGCGAAACCATTTTCACTATGATACATTTGTGGTATTCTCCATTGTGTTCTGTGATTCTATCATGAGTCCGGGTTTAACTATCATGTACAGCTAGTTGAAATGGCTCCTTCATATATAGAGCTAACTTTGTATTATTTGATGCTCATATTCGAATTGAAGTGTTTGCCTGCTTTGAATTGTTCCCTGTGAGGGATTCGCCATTTCTTCTGTCACTCAAGACTACATAATAAGATATGGTGCAGGGGCTGGAAAGATTTCAGGTTAATTTACAGTTGATTTTTATCCGTTTATTTTCTTTTTCTTTGAACTTGGAATTGTTGCATTTTTCTTTGTTGCTGAATCTGTGAAGTTGTTAATATTTATTTGATTTTGTACACGTCGGCCAGATCAATAGTTCTGAAACCTATCTAATTTGGCCGATCGTCAGCCTGACTATGTAATACCCACTGCTGGGAGTACGTTCCCTAAAGGAATTTGAAATACCGATGCTCCCTATCTGTTTTAACACAAGGTTTCGCTGATTTCATGTCAGCTACTCCCTCCGTTCCTAAATATAAATCTTTTCTAAAGATTTCAATATGGACTACATATAGATGTATATGAACATAGTTTAGAGTGTAGATTTACTCATTTTGCTCCATATTTTAATATGGACTACATACAGATGTATATGAACATAGTTTAAAGGGTAGATTTACTCATTTTGCTTCATATGTAATTCATATTGGAATCTTTAGAAAGACTTATATTTACTTATATTTAAAAACGGAGGGAGTACAACCGGACCCTTAAATCCTTCCTAAATGTTGGGCTGACAGCAGAGTCATCGCCTGGTCAACGGCCACCCGGTTGGATCCCCACACCCAGCCAAAATGTCCAGGCAAGCCTGATCAAGCCAGTTGTTACACTTTGGGCGATCTTAGGGCATGTACAATGGTGTTATCTTAGGAGTGCCACGTAGGATAAATGATGAAGTGGAGGAGAGAGAACTCATAAGAAAAGGCTTGTCTTCTCTTATTTAAGATAAGACAAGAGATGATCTCTTAGCACAATATGTCTCACCATATTTTTAGAAATGACTAGTTATTGAAGATAAGGCTAAGAGATGATCCATTGTAGACTCTTTTTTTTTGTCATATCTAAATTACATGCAATACTTAAGATAAGACTACCTTATCAACCATTGTACATGCCCTTAAGGCCAACTCCACCGCACGACCCCAAACGGATGTTCGTTTCTGTCCGTTTGGGGTGCGATTTGGCGGACGTCTGGGGACGGACAGACGAAGGAAACCATCTGTGCCCAACGCGCAGCAGGCGCGATTTTACCCCAAACGGACATGCTCTGCCCCGCCCCTAGCTCCCTACTCGCCGCGCTCGAACTCGCCGTGCGCCGGGCTGGCCTGCGCTGCCGCCCGTGCCGCGCCGGGCCGCCCAGCGCCTGTGCCCGCGTCGTGCCGGCCGGGCTGGCCTGCGCCGGGCCCGCTC